CACAGACTGTGCACTCATTGGCCAGAGACCTGAGAATCTGTAGGCAGGAAATTCTTGGTCCTGCTATCGGCCTTTAGATTATTTTTATTTGTGTCATGTAAATATATTCCCATAAAATGTTGCAGAGGTCTCCCCACAGAAAATGTCCATGATGTAAAAATTATTGATTACAAATTTTCAATTGTGTAAAAAATTGTAAATCCGGAGAATATTGCAGTTACTTAAGCAAAACTTTAATAATTTGACATTGTTCATTTTGTTCCTATTTTTTTTACCATTTACTTCTTTACTTCCGAACTTAGAACCTTGATTGTTTTTAGAAGTTCTAAATAGAATATTTGAGCATCTTCATAATAATCTCTTTTCAAAAGAGAATGGAAAGAGTATTCAGAATTAAATGCAACACATCTTCCTCAGATCAATAGATAGTAACAAACCTACATGGAATGCAAATGTTTTGGCTGCATTGAGTCATTTGTGAAATCTTTTCACATACTGCGATGAATATTCATGTTAGTTAAAATTTCTCTTTGTTTAACTTTTCGGAAAAAGAAGGTCTTGTTACTATGAAAATTTGCTGGGGTTTTTTGTTTGTTTGTTTGCTTGTTTATTTATTTATTTATTTTCCTTTATCCTTCCTCAATGCATTCAATGTCATTCTAGTTAGGGTGGTAAGTGGACATTTGTCATCCATTCTCTAAGATGGTGAGATCTTTTTGCTTAAACCTTCCTCCATCTGCTCTAATACCAGTTACTCCAGAAGTGTGGATGAAGTCTCATCCTCTGCTTCATTGTTCCATTCTCCTGTCATCCATAGCACTAGCTTTCAGTAGCATGTTCCAAGTTCCTGTGCTTCTGATATTCTATGAAATTAAAATATTGCATGAGATATAATAATACTTATATGTTTATAGGCAACCTAAAAATATCAGGAAATTGCAAGTGAGTTTCAATGTGAATAGTCGGGGAAAAAAAAATCAAGAAAGATCTTTGCATTACATGAGATGCTCAATTATGTTGTTCATTGACTTTAAATGGATTACTGCCATGATGTGGTAAATAGAAACTCCATAAAGTATTTATATTTTATTTAAATATCAGTTACTTAATTTACTTTCTCATTATACATTAAAGTAATGATCATCTTGTTTATTAGCATTAAATATTTCATGGACTTCACAATACTGTATAACTTACAATAAATGAATAAAGGTCATTACATTGCCCATTGTGTAAGAATCATCAGCAGTACACATGAAGAGAAAGCAGGAGAAAAATAATAATGGAAAAAAAGAGGCCTGGGTGGTATAATCTCTTCAAGGAATCACTTTGTTATATCTCAGTTGTCCAATTAAAAAAAAAAAAAAAAAAAAAAGGAAAAAAAAAAAAAAAAAAAAAAAAGTGCTAAAATAAAATAAGAATTGCACCATAATTATTATGACCTATATTTATAGAGTTTATATCTGGAAATATCCTAAAGCAATTTACAAATGAGGTTTTAACCTATATATAGAAAAAAAGAAACCATTACAATCACTAGCAAAATACAGATAACGAAATGGGATTGCAATTTAAACAGGAGAGACCAATTTTATGCAGCAGTTTAACAAAACACATTGATCTATAAAGATCACAAAATAATATAATCAAAAATCTAAAAATCCTGATCAGATTTAAACTAAGATTGAAAAGAAACAATGAGTAAAGAGACCTAATATACCTAATCACAGGAAAAAAATAACAATCCCAAGTCAAAATTTGCTTAGATTTTCATGAAATTCTTACTTTCAGAAAAAAAAAATATTTGCACAATGTATTTTCAAAATAGTACTGAATTGTCAAGACCCACATATTTGAATCAGTTCTTTCAACTAGTTCAAGATGGATTTATTTTTTTTTTTTAAAAAAAAGGTCCAACTGAAAAATTCCCAAACCTTTAAAAAATAGTGTTAATTCTCTTCTTGAAGACTAATCAAATCAAAAGCCTTCCCCCCACACAAACAGACCCTCACTGGACCCTGCTCTAGGGAATCCCCTTGTGTCAAAATCAGGTTTTGAATACTCTTGTGAAGCACTTACTGAAGTGGCAACGGTCACTAACACTGCTGTAACAGGATATATTTTGCACACAGTTGAAAGTTAAAGAAGTCTTAGTGGCTTTAACATATATTTATATATAACAAATTGAAAAATTATATTGAGGTATATAAACCGATTTCCTAGAATGCCCTGCATTGCCTGAGTACACTAGAGAACTTGCCAATGCATTATGAGCATTTAAACTGGAAGAGATCTCATAGGTCATTGAATCTAATTTTTAAATGCCATATAATATCTCAGTGAATGGTTTGGTTGGTTGGTTGGTTGGTTGGTTTGTTGTGGTGTTTGTGTTTTTTTTTTTTGTTTATTTTGTTTTTTTTTTTTTTTTGTAAGTTCATTTCAAGGCTGTTTTAAAATATTTTGTGTGTTATTAGTTTTGGTTTTTTGACTGCAACGTTTCAGTCACTCGTATAGGGAAGCTACTATCATGGAGAAGCAAGAATGAATAAAGTCTCAAACGCTTTCAATGACTGTGAAAATTTGGGATGACACTTAAATATGAAATATTGCTTATTACAATTATTTATTGCTTATTACCCCTACAGAGTACTTTCAATTACAAGAGTGAAAAAAATTACGAAGCTCTATATCTGATGATGAGTTTGCTGGCCTCTTAGAAAGGAGTAGAAGGGGGTGAGTTAAAGAGTAACAGTTCCGTGGTGTTCACCCTAGAGAGAAAGGAACATACATCAGATTCTTTTTCACAAGATATGAGCTCAACTCCCTAAGACAACACAGTATTTCTTGGAGGTCTCTCCCCATAGCTGTTCACTTTTTTCCAGTCTCTTACAATGATGAGTGATAATCAGTTTGTCTGCTTAACCACATAACCCCCACCCACCTCCATCCCCCTGTTAGGAAAGAACTCCAAAACTGTAATAACCATCAAACTAGGAATTAACAATATCCTCGAATCCATTTTGCTATGTCAAAAAACACAGGTAAAGGGGATATCTGAAAATTTCCCTAGTAGAACAGCAGCAAAATCAGAGCAATTTTAATGAATATTCCAAATCCAAGGGAAATTGTCTCCCAGGTGGCTGAACCGTTTTATTTCCTCAGCATTGTACAGGTGGACCACATCAGGAATCAATTAGCAAAGGACCTTGCTATCATGTCCCCAAATATCCATTTAGCTCTCAGCCACAGAGCTCAGAAGCAAGAAAGTTGTGCACCCACCTTGTTTCTGCTTTGTGTATCTGTAGGACGTGTGGTAAAAAAATCAACAAAAGGAAGCTGTAGGATAAGAAAATCCCAGGCAGAGCCACTATACACCATATATACTGTGTTTGTAGCCAGCTGTGCATGTACCTTAATTCTGGATAGGGGCTAAAGACTTTGATTGTATCCAAGGCAAGCTATGTATGGCATAGCTACATGAGATAGAAAATAAATGGCCTGTAACATCTAACATTCTGTGGGAAACATTTTCTCCGTGGAATATATCATATGTGTAGTTGATGTATTTGCTAATGTAGGCAGGAATTTGTGTAGGCCTGCATGAGTTACTTAGTGTGGATTATGGTCTTCAGAGTGCAACTTCATTTGTACTCCAGGTGTTTTTCAGAACCATTTAACTGATAAGATTTTCAGTTGGGGTCACCCTTAATACAATTCTGCTGAATGACAAGCTAAAAAGAGAAATATACCTGCAACAGGACTTTTTCATTCTCCCCAGAATATTTCTGCAGATTACATTTTTTCTTAATTTTTAAAATAGTTTCACACACACACAAAAAAACCAACAAACAAACAAAAAAAACCCAAACAAAAAACAAAAAAACACCTCTCTGAATTTGTTTCTGTTTTGAGAGCAGAGTTAAAAACCTCAAGCTGAGAACTCAGGGTTTGGTTCCAAGCATTGCCTTGGCGCTCTGCAAGGATGTGGCGATGTTAACTGGGATTCTTCTGGACAAAGCCTACCGTGTAAACACCTGATGAGATTTAGACATCTTCTGTAATAGATGAGATGAATCATACTTTAGATTATAAAGGGAGTCTGGATGGCTATCCCAGGGTTCGATACCTGTGCTTCAGTCACAGGAGCTGGCCATCTGTGAATTTACTCGATTTCACATACATATTTCATTTCACACACTACGATCTCTGTGCTGCTGCACAGCCAGGAAAGCACAGCCAGCTCATTTCTGATTATTTGGAACATGAGTTTCATGGGCCACTTGAGCTGTATTTGCTTCTCAGAGTTCGTCCCTTGTCTGTAAAACAAGGACAATCTCATCTCTTTAGACACCAATTCTTTTCCCATGTGCCAAGGTCACTAGATACTCTTTTAATTATCAAATGCAGGTTATGCAACATGAATAAATGAAACACAGATAGTGAAATAGATATTTTTAATTCCAAATGTTACACAACTCTCCTGTCAGCTAAAGTAGATTTTTTTTTTTTTTTTTCTTTTTGGGAACCGCTGACTTTATCCATATTTTTGGTATCTTCACTCCAATAAATTACCAGATCTTATCTCCAGCTTACTCTGTTTCTTATACAACTTAGGACAGTTATTCACCCTAGAAAAGCCTCACAGGTACTTTAAGTTATGTTTCTTTGAAATCAGAGGCAAGTAAATTTTGCTTAGCTGGAGACTAGCAGCTAGAAGAAAATTGTGATAATTTCACACAAGGAAACTTTACAGCTTGGTGCTTAGATGTCAGTGGACATTTCTAGCTGTCAACTGATGGCTTTTCCACTGATGTGTTTAATGCACTGGAATATCAGTCCCTCACAAAACAATTAAGGTTAACAAACAGGATCAGAAACACATGTTCTGTGGATGCCAGATATTCATGGTTGTGTGCTTTATCTCCCTTTCCAGTTTTAAGGCAGGGAGATATGCTGAAAAAAAAAATAAATAAAGGTAACAGCAGTGACAAGAAAGGCTATTAAAGCAAAAGAGATTTTATTTGGTTTAGTTATAACTGGAACAATGACAGGTTATAAATAGAATGTTGTTATACTTTGACACTGGTAACAAGGTAAACAAATCACATCAGTTTCCCTCTAATTCTAGCTGTGTTGAATGGCTAACTACAAGAGTTCATAAAATAAACATATCTGTTAAAAATAGGGAGCAGCTTGCTGTTCACTGTCATCAGTAAGGCAGACACCTGGCTTTCCCTCTCAGCCAGCACATTCCTGCCAGAAGTTATGAATGACTGCAACTACCTGCTGTAAACAGCCTGGGACATATTAACTCTTAATTAGTTTTCACTTACACTCTAATATGAGAAAAAAAGAAAAACAACTTTTACCTGACTAGCTAGCATGTTTCTTCTTTTCAAGTTTGCTATTAGTCTGAAACCAACTACTCTAAAAGCAGGTATTTTCTGTCTTTGTAGTTTGCTTTTGATGTAGTAATTTCCTTCCTTCTCACAGATTATACAGGCATGACCACAATAGACAGCATTCCCTTTGGAAAATGACCTATTTCAGTTAGTCCTGTCTTTGTTTGCATTTTAAAAGATGCAAAGATGCTTGAGTATGACTTTAGGAAACAGGAGATGCATTCAACCTGCCAAGTGTAAGCAAGTTCTTTCTGGTTGTTGTTCTGGCCTTTACCGGGAGCTTGCAACGATGAATGTGTGCAACACAGTCATGTTTGCACACTACTGTGGAAGACTGTCTCTTTTAAATTTTCATAGGACCTGAGAGCTGGGACTGCTCTGCGTGTCATTAGCGTAGCCAGTTAACCCCACTGCCAGATCGAATCCTCTTGATGCTGGCCAGGGGTCTCTTCATTGTCATCTGAAACCTCTTCTTCTCGCATTTCACAGGGTATGTTTCAGAGTCTGATTTGCAGTGCAAAGGAGAAAGCTGGCTGTTGCAGACTGCCTCCCACGAAACAGCCCGCTTGGTCTTAAAAGGGGTGACTGAAGGTTTTATGCACTCCATGGTCTGTTGAAGTTCACTGAAAGGGTTGGATGAGCTTCTTACAAAAGAGGTGGTCTTCTTCCTTTGGGACAAGAGGATTTTAAGCTCTTCAGAGTCATGCTGAAAAAAGAGAGACTCTTTTCTCCTGGTATTAGGACTCTCACCCAGTGTGACAAACCCGTAGGGAGTAGTGATTTTGGAGAGGTGAGGTAAAGAGAGAGCAGCTCTTGTTGCTGGGTCAGAGTGATGTGCAGCTCTCTCCAGGTCTCCAGGTAAAATCATTCGGTCTGTAAAGGACAGGGTTCCTCTTCTGTCCAGACTCTCTCTTTTGCACAATGCATCTTTCCTGATGTAGGATTCAGATTTGCTTCTCATTGTTCTGCGCTTATAAGTAACTTTGTCAGAAAACCCTCTCTCAGGAGAAGTCTCTACAGTGTCTTCCTCCGGCTCCTCTTGGAAGGAAATATGCTCTATGTCCAGAGAAGGGATGAAAAATTTGGGAATGCGATCAGGAGTCATGACAATGTTGAAAATGTCCTTGTTTTTCTGAGCAACTTTATCTTCAGGAGGAGGCTTGCTGATTTTGGAACTTGCCCAAGTTAACAACCGTTCTATAGCACTTTTTACGGAGAACTGCGATGTACTACCAGGCACCATTATTTCAGTCAGCAGTGCTTTCCTAAAAACCACAATGCTGTCTGCTGATTGAATTCTCACAGCACTGATTGCAGATGGGGGACTCATTCCTGCTTATAAAACAAAGCAAATGACGTCATCTGATAGCTAGATGTCATTGGCATGGTAACCAAAGATAAGAAGGCTTTTACACTCCTACTTATATACTTACAGTCTGATTCATGCTGCACCATTACCTTAAATAAGCTTAAACATTTGATCTAATTATTTTTAAATGTCAGGTTTGGTGCTAGTGTCTTAGCTATTTTCAGAAAAATAATGGTTACAAACATACCTATAACTTTCAGACTATTTGGACTGTGTTATCTGTACTACTACAAAAAATACAATTAAGATTTTTTTTTTTTTTTTTTTTTTTTTTTTTTTTTTAAAGGGCTGTGTCACTAAATAAATGATGTGCAAGTATGTGTAAAAAGCACAGTTCACCTGTGATTCTTTAGTTTAGCCTTCTGCAAATCATACTATTTGGTGTATTTCATGTAGAAGACTGTGAGAGGAAACAGTAGGAAATGAGTGATCGAAGAGTTGTTGGGCTGGCACATAGAAATGGATCTCAAATTACCTTTCACTGATGCTGTATGTACATAGCACATAATGAGGAAAAAATGATCAGCCCTTTAGAGGTTATTCAGATTAGATGTCTGTGCTTAAAGGGGTGGGCATCTGCTCAGGTACATACAGTAGCTTGCAACTGCTGTATGAGTTTCTGCTGATACTTGATTTACTTCTTAGGCTTTCTGGTGAGAGCCCCCTCCCAGCACAGTGCCCTGCTGTCACTGATGTAATTTGCAGACACCTCTGAAAACGGCAGGGCAGACCAACATATGCGTGGTTGCTCATCACTATCAGACCATATAGTCTTTTGTCCAACTACACTGTAATTTTTTCTTGCCTGATACTCATCTCCTTTCCCACTTTAGTACAAGGGCCAGTAATTTGCCATTGCTTTATCTCACCTTATATGTATGATCCCTAGGAAAAATAAGGAGTATATAAAGAAATGTATGAGAATATAATATCTTGACTTTCATCTCTGCAGGATGGACTGTTCATGGCTTTCTTTTTGCTTATCTTAGTTTTGGTGACATTGAGGCCACCTGTGCTACGGGGCACTTTGAGAGTGCAAAATAAGTCTCCCTGTGTTACAGTATAAAACTCACAAAATCTGTTTTCGCAAATTTATTTTATTTTATTTTTATACACTCCTGTTTTACTCTGCTAAAGTTCCCACCATAAATATTTCCCTTTTGCTGTGTTTTGAGGCTAGAAGTTCAGTCCTTATAATTCAATCACATGTGTAAGTTATTCAGGAAGGTGTGACTACTTGGTATTCAGTTCTCTATGGATTTCTCTCTGGTTTTGAATAGAGATTTTCGGGTGCTTTTGTGTCCAGGTAGAAGTCAGCACTTCAGTACAGTATTTAACATTCTTGGTGAAGATAGAAAACTTTTGAGAAAAGTTCATGGAAATCTCTTGTTGGCATTTTGGGCAGATACGGACTCTGTTCATCTCAGTACTTTAATCTTTTCAAGGAAGAAGTTCTTGTCTACGGATGACCAATATCTGCATGCATAAGCTGTTCTATAGGCACAAAATAGTTGCAGATTTGGTAGGAAAAAAAAATAATTATTGGTTTAGACTTTTGTTTTGGTTTGAGCACCACACAGGTGCTCACTCCTCCCTCAACACTGGGAAGGAGAAAACAAAGCAAAAGGGCCAGGAAATTGAGATAAGGACAGGAAGGGGTGATTCACCCATTACAGAACAGGCAAAAGACAGATTTGTTAAGGGAAGAAAAAAGGAACATAAAATTTAATACAAACACTAACAAGAGCAATGCTTAACAGACAGGATAGGGCTGTGAGAAGCATTGTCCCATCCTGAATACAAATTTCCCCAACCCTCCCTTCTTCCTGAGCTCAGCTTTGCTCCTGATATCTCTACCTCCTTTTCCCAGCACCTCAAGGGGCAGGGAATGGGGAGGGGTACAGTCAGTCCTGTCCCTTCTTCCTCCTTGGTGGAGGGGAACTTCTGGCATTCCTCCTCTGCTCCAGCATAGCTTCCCTCTCACAGGAGACAGTCCTCCACAAACTATCTCCAACATGCATCACTCCCACGGGTGTGTGGGTCACCCCACATGTTTCAGTCCTCCCATTGCTGAATTACAACAGGATTGCCTTCTTCCCATGGGATCCTGGCCTTCTTTGGATACAGTCATCTGTCAGGGCATAGAGCCCCCCACGTGCCACGAATTGGTATCTGCTCCCCACAGACCCCCCCGGGTGGTGGTGGGGGTAGACCTGCCGTCTCACCACAGGATACAGGGGTGTCTCTGCTCCAGCACACATTGCTCCCTTCCTCCTCCTTTCTTCCACTGACCTCAGTGTTCACACAGTTGTTCTCCACACAACTCCTACAACTCAGCCTTCTTAAATATGTTGTTGCAGAGGTGCAGCTAATTGGCCCAACCTTGATGCAAAGGAGGGCCTGATTTGGAACCGGGGGAGCTTCAAGAAGCTTCTCACAGAGGGCCACTATTCAGCCCCCTCTCCTCCTACTAAAAACCCTCACCACTCACTCAAACCAGGACAGTTTTCCTGGTTTTGACTTAAAAAGTTATCAATATTCAATAAATAGAACAATAACAAAACCAAAGTATCTTGAAATCACCCATAAAATCGGGCACTTTCAGTTTGTTCTGATTCTTTATAGAAAAGAAAAATAAGGGAAAGAACATTAACTGTTGGGAAAAAAATCCCTCGGGGCACTGCCAATTCACAAACTCTTAGTGATTTAAATAGCATTATTGCTACTCTAGCTGGAAAATCTAAAAAAATACAATCACCATAACTGAATCACACATTAGAGACAGGGCAAATTCACAAATTTGCAAGTCTTTTGAGAACTCTGCAGAATGAGTTTCACTGGTGTCTAATATTATTTTTTTACAAATTTTAGAAGATAGATGTTAGAGAAAAAAAAAAATAACATTACTGTCTACAAGGATGCCCTGTTGTCCTTTATGTCTTAACATATTCTGCTTTCATTTACGAATGAAAAAAATTATACTTACCACCTATGTCCAAACCTAAATTCTGTAAAACCTTTCTTCAGGTGTCCAAGAAAAACAGAAATCAGGATAATTTGATATCTCCCATAATGGAATACAGAATTTAGCTCCCTGTTATTTTGGTCATATTCAATCCAGCATAAGCTTAATTTTGATTTATAAAGCTAGTAAAAAGAACTACAGCAGAAGATGCTATTTTAACCCCAAAAGTTCTAATTCTTTCAGTTGTTTTTGACCACGTCCATACAGTCTGTCATCAAAACCCATCTCATATCATGACTAATTATTCTTATATTCACTAGAACACTTTTATAATTGCTATACAGAATAATTCACCCATTACGGAACAGGCAAAAGACAGACTCGTCTTGACAGACTTTGAGGACAGTGACTTACCTGGACTCCCCTCTCCCATGAGGCTGAAACAGCTCTCTTCTCCAAGCAATTTCAAAGACAACAAAGCCAAAACCTTCTGGAAAACTAGGTATCATAATTTGCTTTATGTTATGAGCCAGACAAAGTTTTGAGAGTATGTCCCTTGCACCTATCACAATTATCTTTTGTTTTGTACACTATGACTTAAGAATGGGTATTTAAGGATAGAATTTTTTTCTTCAAGTTTCTCCTCTCTTTGGAAGCTTGCTTCCTAAAGACAGCCAGGTACATCTTTTATTTTCCTTCATAGTTTTAAGCACAATGGACTTAAGTTTTAATGGCTCATACATACAAATGTACACATAGATAATTTTAAGATTAATATACATCTATACACATATACCCACATACACATATACACATATATATGTATGTGTGTATTTGTCTATATATGTGAATCCTTGGTTTATATTATATGTAGATAAGTATATATGTATGCATATATGAGCCTTTTATATATGCATACAGTGGTATATATATTAGTTTACATGCATTAAGTAATCTGGTGAATTTTTCTGATAATGACCATATAGCCACTTGAGAATAACTTCTGAAACAGTAAATATTGGAAGAGGCATTCCTAGAGTATTTGTTTTAAGGCTTTCAAAACCGCAGGTTTTTGCTATTACAGTATAAAATAAATTTGATTTTATCTTCATCATTACACACAATAATATATTTTAAGAATTATTTTTTAATTCTCTGTTATTTCTCTTTGGTCTAAGAAAAATGTCCAAATGTTCTTTTTTTACTTCAGACAAAATAGAGTTTTAACTATAAACAACTGCAACCAGTAGAAGGGTCCAGTGCCGTTACTAAGGTTTGGATCAAGACCTACATGATGAATATACAGTATGAAATGAGATAAATGGCAGGATTCTGGGGGAAATTTAAGGTATATACTTCTTAAATAATACTATTTGCATTATAAACTCCAGGTAGAACATTTTCTTCCACTCATTTCCACTATAATCTCACTAACCAACATAACTCATGTTTTCCTTTTTTTTTTTTTTTTTTTCCCCTCATAATGGAATCAGC